GTAGAAACATCAGGAAGAGTTGAGAATGTGTTAGGTGCAGAAGTCAGGAGTGGGGGGGTAGAGGAGGAAACTTTATTATTAGTCTAATTGTAGTCCTTGATATCAAGGTATTGCATATGCTATTTTGATAAACATAAAATTTTAATTTTAAGCCAGCCATAATGGTGCATGCCCGTAATCCCGGCACTTGGGAGGGTGAGGCAGGAAGACTATGAGTTTGAGGTTAGCCTGGGCTACATACCTAGACCGTATCTCAAGAAAAAAATATTTTTTTTTAATTTTAAAAAGACAGGCTACAGAATATCCCTATTTTTAAAACTAGGTCTTGGTTTCATTTCTTTCTATGTTTATTATATGTAAGATCATAAGCACTCTTGGAGATATCAGGCAGTCAAAATAGAGGACAACCTCTTAAATGTTTGCCCTTTTTATTTTAATAGACATAAGTTAGCCACAAGTGTGCTAAAACAGTGAAAGAATGAAAGCATATATTGTGTCCCTTAGTCCCACAAACTTGGAGCCTAGAGTCAGATAAGATATGTACATGAATCTTGGAAAAAGCTCTGATCACATAGCTGCCTTCTTTTAAGACCTTTAGTGATTCATTTAATATGACATTTAAGACTTTTCTTAAATCCTAACCCTAAATCTACCACATTGAGAAGCCATTTCTCACCCACAAAGATGACTGTAATCAAAAAAGATAATAACAAGTATTAGGAAGATGTGGGAAAATTGGAGCCCTTATACACTACTGATGGGAACATAAAATGAGTCCGCTTCTTTGGAACACAGTCTGCAGTTCCTTAAAGAGTAAGCGTAGTTACCAGGTGACCCAGCCATTCCATTGCTGGGTATAATCCCAATAGACATGAAAACACATGTCCACCAAAAGCTCGCACATGAATGTTCACAGAAGCTTTATTTATGCTAAGTCAAAGAAACAAGGCACAAAAGGCCTCATGTTGTACAGTTCCACTTACATGACATGTTCAGAATGGTAAATCTATAGAAGCAGAAATTAGCTTAGTGCTTGCTTAGAGCTGGGGTGAGGGAGGAGAAATAGAGAGTGACTGTTAATGAGTAAAGAGTTTCTTTTTGGAGTGATGAAAATGTTCTAAAATTGACCACAGTGTGGTTATACAACTATGCAAATATATTAAAAAACACTGAATTGTATATTTTAAATGAGTGAATTGTATGGCTTGAAAAGGATTTTGTAGGATAATTTTTATTAACTCAGTGAAGCTGTTACTTGTAAAAAGTTCTTAACTTTAACCTACTTTTCCAGCCTTATTTCTTATTCTTGCACTTGGCCTCAACCAGTGTTACTTATGTCTCATCTGCAAGGCAGCTTTTTTTTTCTCCAGTGTAAAATCTAATACTACCTATCTTTCAAATCCTGCTGAATTCCCTCCTCATGCGCAAAACAGAAAGTAACTCTGCCCAGCAGAAACTAAAGGCTACTCCTAACCTTTCCTATACATTACATTTCCAGGCAAACCACTTTCTGTATTCAACATAGAATACTTGTGTGGCTGGTCAGTATTTGTCAGCCATTGTCAAAAATTGTCATTATTTGTCAACATAGTAAAAAAATCACCCTAGAGCAGTGGTGGTGACCTATGGCTTGCATGCTACAGCAGGCTGTTTGTATAATTGAAACCTCTAAAAGGTTCTCATCACTGCCCTAGAAAATCCTTAAAGTTGCCTGAAGAATACAATTCTCTTTTTCTATTCAACATGGCTAGATGCTTTCTCCCTCCATTATTGGAGCAAGTTTCTGTTCTGTTGAGTCCTAGCTGAAGAAATTGATTAGCATTTATATGTATCACAAAATAATAAAGCCCAGCCAATAGTACAATTTTGGGTATTCAGTATAGTGATTGGTTCTGCCCTCCTCAGCCCCAGTTTGCAATAGAAGCAAGCTAAGACTCTTATGCAGAATAGCTGCGGCTGTGAGATGGACAACTGATTGACTTGGTTTATGAACTAACTTTAATCATTTTGGATTTCTTTAATTCAGCATACAGTTTGTGTGCAATAATTGGCCAGTTCGTAACAGAAGAAGACCATCTAACAAATGTTTTTCCTTTTTGCTAGAAGATAATTTTTTGCTGTTATTGGTGTTTCAGTAGTCGGACCTCATTTATTGCATTGTGGTGGGCCTTTATTGTAAATAGACACATGTTTCACAGGACTAAGTATTTGTACCATGAAGCTGAAACCAAAAAGCTGCTTAGAGCATGGCAGAATTATGACTTTCCATCTTTTCACTCTTAAGATGTGTACTTTTTTAAAAATAATGGCAGGCACTGTCACTGAATGTTTTAAAATATTCTTGTTTTCTGTCACAGCTTTGCCAAATAAATAAGAGTCGATTTGTTTAAATGAAATGTGCCATGTACACAAATACATATTTCTCTCTCACTGAGAGAGAAATTAGGGAAACAGTTCCTTTCACAATAGCGTCAAAAAAAAAAAAAGGAAATATCTAGGAATCGATCGAACGAAGGAAGCAAAAGACCTCTACACTGAAAACTATAGCACCCTGAAAAAAGAGATCAAAGAGGATATAAGAAAATGAAAAGACATCTCTTGCTCCTGGGTAGGAAGAACCAATATAGTGAAAATGGCCATACTTCCAAAACTGCTATATAGATTTAATCCAATGCCAATTGAAATCCCAACAATATATTTCACAGAGCTAGAGAAAACAGTTCAAAATTCACCAGAAGAAACCTAGAATAGCAAAAGCAATTCTAGGCAACAGAGGCATGGCAGGGGGTATCACAGTTCCCGACTTGAAACTGTACTACAAAGCCACTGTGATAAAAACAGCATGGTACTGGCAAAGAAACAGACCCGAGGATCAGTGGAATAGATTAGAAGATGCAGAAAAAACTCCAGACATACTCAGTCACCTCATCTGTGACCAAGGAGCCAACCATCCTCACTGGAGGAAAGATATCCTCTTTAATAAATGGTGTTGGAAAAACTGGATTACAACCTGCCAAAGATTAAAACTCGACCCGTATCTATCACCATGCACTAAACTAAGATCGAAGTGAATTAAAGATCTAAATATTAAGACAGAAACACTAAACTTGCTGGAAGATAAGTTATGTAGAACTCTTGAAGACATTGGCATAGGAAAAGACTTTATGAACAAATCCTCAGTAGCACAGGAACTAGCACAAAGACTCAACAACTTGGATCTCATCTTATTAAAAAGCTTCTGCACTGCAAGAGAAACCACCAACAGAGCTAAGAGACAACTTACAATGTGGGGGGAAAAGAAATTTTTTTTTTTTTGGTGCCGGGGATCAAACTCAGGTCCTTGCGCTTGCGGGGCAGGTGGCAGAACACTGAGCTAAATCCTCGGCCCCTAGGGAAAAAATTTTTAGCAGCTGTACCTCAGACAAAGGACTACTATCTAGAATATATAAAGAACTTTAAAAAATCAGACCTCCCAAATTTAAAGACCCAGTTCAAAAATGGGCATCTGAAATGAACAGACATTTCTCAGACAAAGAAGTAAAAGCAGCAAATAAACATATGAAAAAATGTTCAACATCACTGGTCATTCGAGAAATGCAGATGAAAACAACACTGAGATTCCACCTCACCCCAGAAAGGATGGCTGCTATCAAGAAATCAACCAATAACAAGTGCTGGCGGGGTTGTGGGGAGAAAGCAACCCTTCTCCATTGTTGGGAGTGCAGACTGGTGCAACCACTGTGGAAATAAGTATGGAGATACCTCAAAGAACTAGGACTAGAGGTCCCATTTGACCCAGCTATTCCCCTGCTGGGTATCTTCCCAAAAGAATTGAAAGACTCATACCACAGCAATATATGCTTACCCATGTTTATAGTGGGACAGTTTGTAATAGCTAAAACTTGGAAACAGCCCAAATGCCCGTGAACTGGAGATTGGATAAAGAAGATGTGTTTTTTTTAATATAAAATGGAGTACTACTCAGCCATAAAGAATGACAAACTAGACACATTTATAGCTAAATGGATGCACACTGAGGCCATACTTTAAGTAAAATAAATGGGACAAATGTGTAAATACCAAATAGTTTCTCTGGTGTGAGAAACTGAAAGTGTAAATAAGGATTAAAATGAATAATTGATAATGTGAAATAGGAAGAAAAGGTCCGGAGGGGTAGGGGAAAGGAAAGAAGGGAAAGGAAAAAATACAAGAAAAGGAAAAAAGGAAACAAAGTCTTTGTAAATAGGGAAGAGTGGAGGGGGTAAAGGGAGGCCAGGGGAATGGGGAAAAATAAGAACCAAGATACGTCATGTAAAGGTACAAGTTCCCAATGATAAATGTAAATGTATTGTGTACCTATAATGTACCAATAAAAGAATTTTAAAAAACAAATGAAATGTGCCATAAGGAAGACTAGTTGAATAAATGATGCCTCATCCATACAATGGTATACTATTGTAGTTGTTAACAAAGAAAAGATGTACGTATATTTTTAATTTTTTAATTTTATTTTATTTTTATTTTTTTTGGTACTGGGGATTGAATTTAGGACCTTGCGCTTGTGAGGCAGGCGCTGGAACCACTGAGCTAAATCCTTGACCCCTGTATATGTATATTTTTAATGCTGATGTGCACATAGCCTACAAAACAAAATTGTATGTATATTTGTACATGCATAAAATATTTCTGGGAGGATATGTAATAAGTTGGAAATAACAGTTTCTTTCTGAGAAAAGGAACCAGGAATTGATGCTAGGGAGGGAGGAAGATTTAATTGTCACTAAATATTCTTGTATTTGACTCTTACTGTGTGGCAGAAAGTACTTTTCCAATGGAAATACATTTATATTTTCTTCATGGTACATATTTAAATGTCAACCTGATACGTTCATTTTAAATGAGTAGAAAATATGTATAGTGTTAATTTGTGTGACTGCTTATTTGATTTTCCAGCAGTTAAGAGATAAAATATCAGTGATTTGTGTATTTGTGTTTTACAGAGTTACATCCATTTGGGAAAACAGTCTCCAGATCACTACAATTTCTAGTTTTGTAGGAGCATGGCTTGGAGCATTTCCTATTCCATTAGATTGGGAAAGACCATGGCAGGTTGGTTTCAACTATTAAAAGCAATAAAATGTGTGTTGAGACAATATGGTAAGGCTTGTGAAGCAAACTAGTAGGTATATATAAATTGTTTTGCTGTTTAGTTTAGAAAGAATACTAATAGCTTCTATCAGTGTAATCTAGATGGCTTCTTATAGGGATCTGTCCCAGTGACACGGGCATCCAGTTTGGTCTGCATTTATCTTCCAGAGGTATTTTTTCTACATCTATGAGTGAATAAACAAACTTATTTTGAGAACACATATAGGAGTTTTTCTTAACTTTTAGGGTGGAAGTTGTAGACATTTGCTATTTTTAACTTTTATATTCACTACCCCTCTGGTTTTAGATGTATTCTTTTCTTAATATGGTGGATGGCAGATTGAATGTTGATCTTGAAATATATTTAGAAAATATAGCGAGGTAATTTTATAAATAGATGTGTTATCAGAAGAAGCTCACAAACTTCAGATTTTTTATTTCCTATAACATTAGGATAAAGCCAATATACTAGGTAAAGCACTGGCAGATGAGTGTTCTTTTCATCCTCTATTACCAGTGGAAATCAACACCTAGAAGATAAGTAACCTTGTCAAGGTCATGAGCTACTAGATGATGGCTATATCTTTTATCTTTTTTGTTACTGGGGAGTGAACTTAGGACCTTGTGCTTGCAAGGCAGGCACGGTGCCACTGAGCTAAATCCCCAGCCCTTTATCTTACTTTTTAATGACTTTGGAGTATACTGTTGTATGGTTAGTCTATCATTTAATACATTGATTATTGATCATTACTGTATTTTGCTGTAATAAAGCACTGCTATGAGAAGCATGTTTGAATCTGTAGCTTCATGAATTTTTATAATTATTTTCCTAGGGTAATCTCTCTCAAAATTATGGCATTAAAAATTAAATGTAGGGCTGGGGATTTAGCTCAGTGGTGCCACCACCTGCCTCACAAGCGCAAGGTCCTGAGTTCGATCTCCAGTACCAAAAAAAAAAAAAAATGTAGAGGAGGGCATAGTAGCACATACCTGTAATGCCAGCTGCTTGGGAGATGGAAGTATGACTACAAATTTGAGGACAGTCTGAGCAACTTAGAGAGCCCTGCCTCAAAATTTTAAAAAATTAAAAGGGCTGGGGAGGTGGAGATATAGCTCAGTGGTAGAGTGCTTGCCTAGCATGTGTGTAGATCCTGGGTTTGATCCCCAATACTACAAAAATAAATGAATGTACTCTTTTTTTCCAACATGAAGAGGACTCTTTTTTTGAGCTGATTTTATTTCTGAGATTTAAGTAGTATTATAAAGAAGAGAGTTAAAATTACTGTTGGCTTTTTAAAAAATCTACCCAGAAGAATACCCTCATTTGTGTTTTGGTGGTAATATTTGTTGCTCTCTTTCTATGTGTATAACTATTCATAATGTATTGTACATGTTATTTATAATCTACTTTTATCTCTCAACAGCATATTATAATACTCACACTGTATCAATAAAAACTGAATAGGGCTGGGGATTTAGCTCAGTGGTTTCGCTGCCTGCTGCATAAGCGCAAGGACCTGAGTTCGATCCCTGATACCAAAAATAAATAAATAAATAAATATAAAAACTGAATATATTTAATATTCGGTGATTTGGGTTAAATAATGTTATTGGTTATGAATGGATATTTAGACTTTTTCAGTTCTAATAATATTTTATTGTTAGTATCATTCTTAAACATACATTTTTGCATATTTGCCCAGTTTTCTCCTTAGCATAAGTTTTTAGGTAATGAATGGGTAATTTTTGATTCCTGTATCCCTCTTCCCAAATGTGGGACCTGGGGTTTGTGTCTTACACCTTTCTGCTACGATTAGGGTCACTCTTTGTGCTTCAGCTAGGTGTCGTCTCCTTGGCAGGTGAGTTGTTCTTTCACATGTAATAATCCTGATGGGTTTACCCTCCCTCTTGATTCTCATTCACTGTGTTACAGAAATCTCAGGAGGTTGGGCTTATGGTGTCACTGATTCCTTGTAAAGTTTCAATATAATAAGGTCATATTCCTTGGCCATCTCAGTGATCAAATTGGCAATTTAAGGAAGTCATCCATACTTCATTTCATTCAGTAGAGTGTCAATGGTTTCTAAATTGGATGACAACATTATCGAAAAGTATACATAGAAAATTGTTTTAAGTTGTGGATTCATTACTTTCAGGTGTGCAATTAAATCTAAACACATAATATTGAAAAATAAAGCACCATGGGACGTCAACATTAATGAATTGGTAAAATATATAATTAACATATCTGTTCATATGTGCATGAAATATTTCAGGATATAGAAAAATATATCACACATATTTAAGTCTTTATGTTTATAAGGCTACAGAAGTAGAAACTGAATCATAAGGGAGTACATGTATGAAATGAGAGTTTAAGCTTGCTCAAAAAAATATATTGTGTACAATTCTCTTTTCTTTTCTGCCCTCCCTTCTTTCTTTCCTTTGGCAGTAGTAGGGATTGAACCCAGGGCTTGCACGTACTCAGCTACCAGCACTGGGCTACATCCCCCACCTCACCCCCCACATTTTTTTTAGATGGGATCTTGCAGTATTGCCTAGGCTGGCCTCAAACTTGTCTTTCTGCCTCAGCTTCTCAAACAGCTGGAACTACAGGTGTATACTTCTGCACCCCATGAATTCTTGACTTTTATCATTATTTTACTTGTTTTGTTTTGTTTTTTGGTACATAACCCAGGCTGGCCTTGAACTCACAGTTCTCCTGCCTCAGCCTCCTGAGTGCTGGGATCTCAGCCATGTACTACCACACCCAGTGTGAATTATTGAGTCTTTAAAAAGATTTTCTAGTTAGCTAATTTAAACATATAACAAGTTATTGATCTTCATCATTAAGAATGCTCATTTAGGGCTGGCAATGTAGCTCAGTTGGTAAAGTGCTTGCCTAGTATGCTTGAGGCCTGGGATTTGATCCCCAGGGGGCAGGAAAATGCTGGAATGTTACCATTTAATTATCTTTATTGTTGGATTATTTTTAAGAGTGTTCTAAGTTAATGACCCACTTATTCACCATAGTCCTTTTAAACTATGATATTTACTGATGGAATGATAGAATTAGTATGCAATTAACAACATTTTATTTAAATAATACTCACCTGCCCCCTCTCTTGGGAGTTGTTTATTAGTAAACTATAGATATTATGTGGCTTTTTTCTTTCCCTTTTTATTTCCAGCAAAGGTTTTAAATATGTTTTTTGTTATTTTAAAAATTCTACACAGAACAAGAAATCACTGTGGCTCATGATGGTAATGGAATCTGCCAGAGAAGCAATAGAAAAGATAAGAGGACATGGCATTTGCTAAAAATGGAGATTTTGTTAGCAAAAACTTTCAGGAGAAGATAGTATTGTGTATACTTTGTTATCTAAAATACAACACGTATTAAGAAGAAACTTTAGTTCTCTAATCCTTGTAGCTCAGTACAGATTTGCTATGTTAATGGTAAAGCAAGCTTTTCTGGATTGCAATTTGTTTTGTTTCTATTCTAGTCAGAGAATTAGGAGTGTCTGGTTAAGCAGTTATATTTTCTTTAAAAACACATGCACACACACAACAGCACAAAAACTGTTACATGTTTTAACTCATTTTCTCTACTTTGAACTTTGACTACTCTAACTTTGTATGAAGTTTCTGAGACCAAGATTATAGTGATGTGAGTTTATAATGAGAAAGTTCAAGCATTTTTATATTCTTAAAATCATTTCTTAATGAAGTGACTGGAAGGGCCCACTGAAAATACGCAATCTCGGTGAAAAAGTTTTTTCACTTAATATGAATTTTCTGTTTGTTTGTTTTTGAGGCAGGATCCCCCTTTGTAGTTCAGGCTGGTCCTGAACTCACCATGTAGCCCAGGCTGGCCTCGAACTCAGCCTCCTCCCTCAGCCTCCCAAGTGCTGGGATTACAGGCATCCACCACCATGCTCGGCATTTAATATGAATTTTAAGTGCTTTTAAGTAATGATGAAAAGATATAGTTGGAGGAAGCCTTCATTTTCTAGAGGGCAGCAAGGGGATTTGGTTAAAGAGAGTATGGTAGAGTGACTACCAGTACATCTTTGTTTTGTTTCACTTAGTATTTGAAATTCATCTTGCCTTCTTCATTTCTAGAGAATGCTTATAGTTACTGATAAATATTTGGACTGTAGAAAACTTTTGTGCATTATAATTAAGTTCTTAACTTGCTTTAACTAAGCAGCTAATTAGTAATTGTTATTACTGTATGCAAAGCATATACTTTTGTAAGTATAACAGACACTTAAAATTACCTAGGGCTGAAATTGATTATTTCATAACAATAACACAGCCTCAGATTCTGATTTAGATTCAGATTTAATATACTTTAAGTATTTTGTGAAACAGATAGTTGTGAGCTTTTCATCTGGAAAATGTTTTTAGTCTTTATCAAAACATGGGCTGGAATTTCATGTTATAAAAAATTTTGTGGGAGGTTAAGGCATGTTGGTTATTCTGAGCTAAGGAAATTCATCATGAGGTTTTTAAATTCATATGTTTTATTAATAGGTAGGCAGTTAACATGATGATTAAGAGCTCTGGCATCAGAATACTTGGGTTCAAATCCTGGCTGTGCCACTTGCTAGTAAGGATTAAATGCTAAAATCCTTCTAAAATACTTAGAACCTGACACATGGTTACTGCTTAATTAATGTTACAGACATTTATAACCTATAAAAGCAGTTTGACTATAATTTTAAAACTCAAAAAATATGAAAAAGCCAATTCCATTCTTTATTGAGTCTTCATGTGTTAGGGGCTGTGTTGTCTCAGTTCGTCATCTTATTCTATCTCCCCAGCAGTCCTTCAGTTGGTAGAGTGGTGTACTAGTGTATCTTTCTGTTTCTGCAGTATTTTATTGAACCAGTTTATGGTATTTGTATTTCACATAATTTTCAGTCCTGCCAGACATTTCAGATGGCAGTTGAAAG